AGGGATTTCAAATCAGAGAGGAGTCAGCAACGGGGGAAAGAAGGGGATTGTTCCCAGCATCTCCTGCTGCCCTTTTTGGGGCTGCTTTGCCCATTCCTACAAGTTGTCAAGCTGGTGGAGACCTAGCAGAGAAATCCCCTACAGACCTTCTCATAAAGGCACGGAGAGCTGGAGGAGGAGACATCAGGCAGAAGACGCAGTGTTTACTCCATCCATTTGCTGTTTTCCAAACTCTAAAGAATGAGGCCCAGGAGATAATAACCTGTGGGCAAACCGCAGAGACAAGTGATTGAAATGCCTTTCCAGGTCCAATTTCCTGAAAGTGAGAAATTCAGTCCTGATGATTCAGAGATACTGGCGTGGGCATAACTGCAGGAAGAACTACGGTGCTGTAAGTACTGGGGTGCTTCCTCACACCCTCTGCCTTCCTATGTCATTCATCCAAGCAACTAAAAAAGAGTTTTCTGGGTCCCTCCAGCTCATTCTGCCCTGTTGAGTTGAGCAGGAGGTTGGCCTTCACCAGCTGAGCAAGGAAGGGTCACCTGGGGTTTTAAAGATCATTTGACAGTTCCTGGGGGAATGGAAGCTCTGGAGCAACATTAGGCCTAGATGCAGGAAGATCAATTTCTTCTGAATACATGCCCTATCCACCTCCAGGCCTGATTATATCGACAGTCATGGCTTTCTCTTGGCCTAAACCCCATCCATGGCTCTCTCCTCTCTCTGTCCTAGCTGGATCTGGCCCAATAGCAGACATTTGGCACAGGGAAGTGGTTGGCCACAGGAGTGACTATGACAAAAAGAGTCCCAATATCATCCTTTTAGCCTGCAACATGATGAGAATAGCCATTTCCAGATGGGTCTGGACATGTCGATGATCCAGAGCCTCGGCAATCAGACAGGCAATCTGCAGGAGCAGGGCTTAGCAGGGGAGCCCATGGGAGATGCTGGAGCTCTATGGGTACAACCCTCATGACTTGCAGCTACTCTGATGTGAAGAACTAGTCCTTTTGAGGCCTCTCAAGAGGGGAAATTCTGTAGGACTCGGTGGGGAAGAATCAACCTTCATCTTCTCCAGTCTTTTAATTAGTGCAACAGTGAGAGCCCTCCGTTTCTCCACCCTCTCGGAGAACCTCCCTCCCAAATGCTTGACCTGGGGGTGGCTGATTCCAGCCGCTCTCATTTACAGCCGCGCAAGCAACAGATTAAGGAGGCAAATCTTCTTAGGGGTGGGCGAGTCCCTGGGCAGCAGCACGGCTCCATCCCGCTCCCTTTTGCAGATGCGGATCGGCTTCCTGAGACTGCAAGCCCTCTACCGATCCCGCAAGCTCCACAAGCAGTACCACATGGCCCGCAGGCGGATCATCGAGTTCCAGGCCCGCTGCCGGGGCTACCTCGTCCGTAGGGCTTTCCGACACCGCCTCTGGGCCGTCCTCACTGTCCAGGCGTACGCCCGGGGCATGATCGCCCGGAGGCTCTACAAGCGTCTTCGGGGAGAGGTGAGGACCACGGAGAGACGTCGGTTGTGGGAAACGGAGGCAGGGAGAGGGGCTATATGTGTGTTTTGGCATCATGTGCTCATGAGATAGGTATTTAAAGAGCACAGAAGAATTACAAAAAGCGGTAGATATCCATTCAGAAGGGGTCTTGTGTTTCTTTCCCAGTATCATCGACGTCTGGAAGCAGAGAAACTTCGGCTGGCGGAAGAGGAACGACTCCGAAAAGAGATGAGTGCGAAGAAAGCCAAGGAGGAAGCAGAAAAGAAACACCAAGTACGCTGTGACTGCCCTCTTTCTGGGTCTCTCTTTCCATTTTTCAGGGCCTAATTCTACTTCTTGGAGAAGGAAATGCCAAAAATATCTAGGGGATTTCTGCCCCGCTTGAGCTATTTGCATTTAATTCACTAAAGCCCTCTGTGCTCTAACTAGGCTGAAGCTGCTCCAGCATTTCTGAG